CATCATATACAAGTCACAGATGCGACTACTCCATTGGACAGATGGAGAAGAAATGTGTCGTTTCAGTAGGAGCTGAAACTAGTATATTAATAATAGAAAGGGTTGAGAGAAAGTCCATCATATACAAGTCACAGATGCGACTACTCCATTGGACAGATGGAGAAGAAATGTATCGTTTCAGTAGGAGCTGAAACTAGTATATTAATAATAGAAAGGGTTGAGAGAAAGTCCAAAGTGTTCAAGTAATTTTAAGTAAGTCAGAATATGTTTTTACATGATACACGACAATCAAGCCATAAGTATAGGTATGAATGTTGCCTCCATTATCTATCCTAAAAGCGTAAGGACTTCTTGTGGAGATTTACAGTAGTCAACAAGTGTAATTAACTTCATTTTATATTATACGCTCTTCTATATAGGACTATATTTTTACATATCGATATTATTCTAGGTTAAGAAAACTACACTTGGTATGCGGAAGTTGCCTACAGATAATTAGTTAAAAAGAGTAGAAGTGAAATAAATGTAAACTAATATATGTATGAAATTCGTGACTGATTTTTATCTGAAAAACAAATATTTATGGTCAAAAATCAAAATTATGATTTATGAAAGTTTCACCCAGAAATTGTTAGTAAAGCTGTTATGGCAAATGTGTATAAATCTAGGCTGAAGTTTTTATTAACAGCAACACCTTAATCTTGTGAAAATAAAATGATTTTTCACGATTTACTTGAGTTTATAACAATGTTGGCCTCCAGTGGCTTAACGATAAATCTACAGACTTACGACGTTAAAAATCGGTGCCCATGGTGCGCAGACATGTTTCTAGTGTTGAACGTTAAGAATCAGGCCTTCAGTAGACGAATAATTAATACCTGAATACAAGTTAGTCTTTGTGCGTCACAATGTTAATAACTTGTGTTCCCGGGCTAGTATGCAGCGTGTGTACACGGTAAAAGGCCCGAACTGCAAAAAGCAATATACCTGACATTTGGAGACCTGCCAATCGTCATGCAAACTTATAACCTTTCTTATTAATCAGTTATAAAACGACAAAATACCTAAGATTTGTTATCATAAATTCAAAAATATAAAAGAAACACAATTTATTTTATGTTGTCAAACTCAAATTAACTCGTATGAGTAGTTCTTTTGGCGAACCACAGATGTACACACATGCAACACGATTACAAGATTTCATACACGAGGTGCTTCCAGCAATAACGAGATTAATTACAGCACTGCGGACTTACAACGCTAGAAACCGGGTTTCAATACCCACGGTGGGCAGGGCACAGACAGCCCATTGGGTAGCTTTTTACTTAACTTCAAGCAAACAAATCATTACGGCAGTTTTGGCTTGCGTGTTTACGAGCGTTGGATCAGTCTCGTCGCTACTGTACACAGTAGATCACCTTGTTTTTCATCGAATTCATTTATGTGCCGTTAGATGGCGCAGTAGCATAGATTTCAGGAAAAATTCTTATTGATTCATTTCGAAAATAATTATGAATTCATGGCATAATTTCAGTGACTTTCATAGATATTTTCTAGTAATTGTATCAAACTGGAGAATTCAGGTATTATTGTTATGTACATTTACAAAATGCTTATTTATTAATAATAAAAACTGTATTCTAATGAAAAATGTGCCTGCGTAACAATAAAGAATTGATTTATAACATTAATGGTACATATTCCTCAACTGCCTGCGTCACTGTAAGCTATTACTGCTGAGTAAATGATATCACAAAGACTTTAACATAAATCATACTTCACTACTACAAGAGGTCTAATCTTGTCTAAGTTTAGTAGTACGATTTAACTGAGTGATATTTGTTTCTTTATCCAAATAACTTTTCTTGGTTAAAAAATTTATACATTTCTCACTTAAAGGACTTAAAAACATCCTCACACAAGCGGTAACTTACATTGGACTATACACATGTTTAATAAACTTTTATTATTTCAATCGATAATTAGTAGTTGAATCATAAGGTGTTACAATAACTAGACATCTTGGTAGCTATGTTCACTAAATCTTAGTGGTTGTATCCAAATCTTGGCTGTTGTGTCCGTGAACTGGTAGCTATGTTCACTAAATCTTAGTGGTTGTATCCAAATCTTCGCTGTTGTTTCCGTGAACTGGTAGCTATGTTCACTAAATCTTGGTGATTGTATCCAAATCTTCGCTGTTGTTTCCGTGAACCGGTAGCTATGTTCACTAAATCTTAGTGGTTGTATCCAAATCTTGACTGTTGTTTCCGTGAACTGGTAGCTATGTTCACTAAATCTTGGTGATTGTATCCAAATCTTGGCTGTTGTCCGTGGACTGGTAGCTATGTTCACTAAATCTTGGTGATTGTATCCAAGTCTTCGCTTTTGTTTCCGTGAACTGGTAGCTATGTTCACTAAATCTTGGTGGTTGTATCCAAATCTTGACTGTTGTTTCCGTGAACTTGGTAGCTATGTTCACTAAATCTTGGTGATTGTATCCAAATCTTGACTGTTGTTTCCGTGAACTGGTAGCTATGTTCACTAAATTTTGGTGATTGTATCCAAATCTTGACTGTTGTGGCCGTGGACTAGTAGCTATGTTCACTAAATCTTCTTGATTGTATCCAATCTTGACTGTTGTTTCCGTGAACTGGTAGCTATGTTCACTAAATCACTAAATCTTGGTGATTGTATCCAAATCTTGGCTGTTGTGTCCGTGGACTGGTAGCTATGTTCACTAAATCTTGGTGATTGTATCCAAGTCTTCGCTTTTGTTTCCGTGAACTGGTAGCTATGTTCACTAAATCTTGGTGGTTGTATCCAAATCTTGACTGTTGTGTCCGTGAACTGGTAGTTATGTTCACTAAATCTTGGTGATTGTATCCATATCTTGGCTGTTGTGTCTGTGAACTGGTAGCTATCTATATACTGCTAAAACTCTGAGATTATTTGTGTGTGGGCTTGTCTGTAATTAAATACAGCAAAAACGGCGCACAATAGCGCCATATTTGTAATAAAATGAGAATAAAAACAGAATAAAACAAGTTTCGTTAAAATCTGGGCACGGGTTACCGAGTTAGCCCCGTTTTTCGGGTCACTTTTCGTACATGCCATTATTATTAAACTTCGTTTATACAACAATATATGCACAACAGAAATTAAATGATGAGATGAAAATATGTTATAACGGTGCATAGAAAGAACAACAATAAAATGGATCTACAATATTATTGACTATTTGCAAATAGTAACTATGGAGACGAGTTAATAAAATAAAAATCAAGTCGAGAACAGCAACAAAATTTTATAAACGAAAACCTCTCGCCGAGCATTGGCTTTTATATTATTTCCCTGTCAATGTTCCCATCTTCATTAAAAGGCATAGGATGACAAAAACAAGATCTTGAAGAAACTGTCTATATACTACTAAAACTCTGGGATTGTTTGCTTATTTTCTCAGTGAAAAATCATTCACACTACCGTTCGCGCTCTTTACGAAACTTCATCGGGCCACGGGTTACCGAGTTAGCGCCGTTTTTCGGGTAACTTTTATGAAAATTTCTAGAATGAGTAATTTTTACATCGCACTAACGTTCGCGCTCTTTTTCGTTCAAATCTATTTCCCTGTCAATGTTCCAATCTTCATTAAAAGGCGTAAGATGACAAAAACAAGATCTTGAAGAATTTCTCAATAATGTGTCTTGGTTATGATAGGTAATTCAAAGAAAAAATAAAGTGTTACTGTTTCTTATTTGTAGAAAGTTTAAGAGGAAAGACCACTCCATAATACCTGAAAACTATGACTCTACTTTTTTGAAAAATGAAATGGTCTTTCCTTTTACTCCCGATCAACAATCAAATATCTTTTCTTGAATTATGAATAACATGAATGGATTGAAATATTTAATTAAATTATCTCAAACTAAACCTTCCTTTCGGTGCAAGATTGAAATTAGCTTGAATTCTTCATAACCTCTGAATAGTGGGTGAACCAACGGGTCACGGGTTGTCTAGTGTTCACTAAATCTTGGTAGTTGTATCCAAATCTTGGCTGTTGTGTCCGTGAACTGGTAGCTATGTTGACTAAATCTTGGTGATTGTATCCAAATCTTGGCTGTTGTGTCCGTGAACTGGTAGCTATGTTCACTAAATCTTGGTGA